TCCCAGCGGACGGCCGGACTCTCGGGCTTCCGCCCTCGGGACCTCGCCCCCCCACACACCCCGGCTCCAGCTCGACCCGCCGCTCGCCGCCGTGGGAGGCTCGGAGCTGGTGCCAACGGCTCCTCGCGCCCCGCGCACGCGCGCTGTCCGCACCGCCGGAAGTGACGGTTCCGGCTCTTGTCACGTGGGAGGAGCAGCGGGGAGACGTGATTGTGGGGGCTGGGGGGGGGTGTGAGCGCTGGGACCCCGGTCTGGAGCCGTCCCGGGGAGGGGTGTGGCCGGGTGTGCGCCGGCTGGCGGGGGGACGGGCCGGTGTGTGCACCGCCCCTGCCCTCGGGTCTGTCTTCGTGGCCGGGAGTCGGTGTGTCACCGGGACACGGGGGGCTTCAAGCGCCGCCGACAACTTTACTCCCTCTGGGGAACTTCTGTGCTCACCGCCCAGCCAGTGTTCGCGGCCTTTTGCCTCCCGGGCCTGGGGGTCCTGGCCCGGCGCCCCCCCACCCGGGACGCGGGACAGGGGGAGCGCCGCGCACCTCCGGGATCCCAGCGAGGGTCGGCGGCTCCCGCCGGCGCGGGGCAGACCGCCGCCGCTCCCGAGTCACTTTGAAGGTGGTCAGGTGTCCTGTGCAGACTGTCCTCAGAACAGGTATCGCCCAGCTCTACACACCACTCATCACCTTCAGCTGGCGAGGCGTCACGGAGGCGCCCCAAGTCAGGCCAAGCTGCCTGGTGGTGGCCTCGACCCCCCCCCCTTTGATTTAGTGTCATGTATTTGGACTGGGGGGGGGGGTAGTAATAATAAGATTGAAGCAAGTGTGACCACTGCTGTCCTTTCTACACCTCACTAAAAGATTTCAAAAGAAGAAAGGAAAACACAGTCGCGTCGGTGTGGACAGCTGCAGATGTCTGCCCGCGGCAGCGTTGAATAGGGGTGGAATTGTAGCCAGGAGTGGCAAGTCGCAAAGATTCTCAGCTCTGGCCTACTTTTGTACATAGAAAGCGTACCCACTATGTCCAGAGGTTCCAGTTTCCTCAAGACAATACGACTCGGGTCTATTGTTTTCCTGATAGTTACATTTCCTATTTTTTTTTTTTGGTGTAAGTTTAATGATGTCTGCAAGCCTCTAGTATGAACCTTTTATGAAAGCAGATAACTATGGGAGGGGGGTTCCTCCATTTCTGTGTGTGTGTGTGTGTCGGTCCTGGGGCTTGAACTCTGGGCCTTGGGCGCTGTCCCTCATCTCTCCAGCTCAAGGCTAGCGCTCTACCACTTGAGCCACAACACCACTTCCAGTGTTTTCTGCTTATGTGGTGCTGAGGAATCGCACCCAGGGCCTCATGCATGCAGGGCAAGCACTCTACCGCTGAGCCCTTTCCCAACATCCTCTATTTCTTTTTTTTTTTATTGTGAAAATACTGTACAGAGGGGTTACAATTACATGGGCAAGGTAATGAGTATATTTCTTATCAAGCATTGTAGTCTCCTCCTTTGTTTCCCTTTCCCATCTCTTCCCATCCCCCCCCGCACCCCCCAATCCAACATCCTCTATTTCTTTTCCAACTTTTTAATGACACACAGTCAGAAACATTAGAAAATGTGCTTAAGCAAAAGAGTGAACTTAAAATCTGTCATTTCCCCCCCATCCCGTCCTCCATGTTGTTTGATTTGTTTGTTTTTGTTTTTTGTTTTATGTTGTAGTTTTTTGTTTTGAGGAGAAGCTATTTCTACCAATGAAAGAACATTACTCCCAATTTAGGCAATTCTACTGCATAACCTACTAAACTAAAATTCTTCATCCAAAGTCCTGACCTTTAAAGTCCATTCCAACCAAGTGGAAGTCAGATTATATGTCAGATGATTGATGTGGTGTGGCACTTGGGGATTTCCATTTAGAAATAAACTGAGCATTTTTCCTACTGCAAGATTCACTGTGGTGTCTCAGTCCAACATTTAAATGATGTTTTTCAAGCAAAATTCCAGAGGAATATAGCCCTTTCATCCAAATCAAAACTAGTGAGCCTAAATGAGCCTCATTGGGGCCTAATCTGAATAGTTCACCTGATCACATACAAAAATAAATCCTTTTATAATCAGTTTTAAAGTCAATTTACTACAGTTGTGGTTAAAAATAATATTAAAAAATTTATTCGAACTCACATAACTTATCTTGTGATTTTGAAGTTTGTTATAGGCCCCTATTGAAAACTTTCAAAAATACCAAACTGTATCATTTGATTTTTACCAAATATGCAGTGAAATTCATTCTCTGATCTTCACAGAATATTCTGAAACAGTCAGTGTTCTAGAATAATGTTACTTAAATGTACAACAGCACTGCATTGTTGATAACAAGAATGTCCAACATTACAAATGCTTTTCCTACCAAAAAACATAACTACAGGCTGGTCATAAAAGAAGCCAATCGGAATGGTTCAGTAATTCTAATTACCAAGCTTGGGAGACCTGGAGCTTTCCAGCCTGAATTGGGTTTAGGAGAGTGGGAAATGCCTGTCATCCCAGCTAGCAGGGAAGCATAAACAGGAAGAATCAGTTCCAAGCTGGAACATGTAATAACCATGATACCATATTTAAAAAGAAATAAGAAAGCAGTTAATAAAGTGCCTCTTTAGCAAACAGAGACTCTGAATTCAAATCCCCAGTACTACCAAAAGAAAAAAGTATTCTGAAACCTATTTGTAACAGAAATTGTGATACTAAGGCACACTCTAATCAACAGGGGAAAGTATTAAAATTTCTAATTTTGAATTTGTGTGCATGCACGCACACGTGCGTGGGTGCATGTGCTAGTCTACCGGCTTGAACTTAGGGCCTGGGCACTGTCACTGAGCTTTTTGCTCAAGGCTAGGTCCCTACCACAGCTCCACTTGCAGCAGTTTTGGTGGTTAATTGGAAAAAAGAATCTCATGGACTTTCTTAGACATACTGGCTTCACACCATAAGCTTCAGATCTCAGCCTCCTGAATAGCTAGAATTACAGGCATGAAGCACCCAGCAGCTTTCTTCAAAAAAAAATTATAGGAATATATTATTTTTTCAATCCTAAAGATAATTTTTTCTGGCTTAATATAGGTTATTTTAGCAACTTTCCCTTTGTTGGATTATGCACTTATTATGTAAAATGAAATATTGTTCCTGAGCTGAAGCCAATGTATGGGTTATGCCTGGAACTACTCCCATCTACTTGAGAAGCTAAGACAGAAGAATTGCTTGAGCTCAATCAAGCATTTGGGGCCAGCCAGGCAATATAACTACACTCTGTTTCTTAAAAAAAAGAAAATGCTAGAAATTTAGTTTAGTGGCAAGAGTACTTGTCTAACATATGCAAGGCCCTGATTTCAATCCCTGGCATCACAGACATAAATACATAAAATTCTAAAGCCTTTAAAACTGTTCAAAATATACATGTTGTTCTTGAGTTAAAGTTTATCTAATACACTTGATAGTCCTTAGAAAAACTAAATGCTCTCATAATCTGAAAGCCCAATGGATACAGATACAGAAATCAAATCCCAAGCCACAAAGTGTTTATTGAATACAATATTAAACATATGTGGCTTATTTTGTATTAGATTATCAGGTCTATGTTTATAATTTATAAAACACTCCATACATTTTTGTCTTATGGTATTTTATGTGTCAATATAGAGAATTGCCGGATGCGGGTGGCTCACACTATAATCCTAGGTACTCAGGAGGCTGAGATCTTTGAATCAAGATTCAAAAAGCCAGCCCCAGAAGGAAGTCCATGAGATTCTTATCTCCAGTTAACCACTTCCAGAAAACTGGAAGTGGTGCTATGGCTCAAAGTGGTAGAGTACTAGCCTTGAGCTGAAGAGCTCAGGGGACAGCACCCAGGCCCAGAGTTCTAGCCCCACGACCAACAAAAAAAAAAAAAATCAATATAGGTAATACTTATTTACCATAAATCCTATCACTTTTTCCAAGTGTGCATGTTTGTATGGGTATGTGGTAGTAGATTTTTATAATGGAGAGATTATTTAACCTGCTTTCCATCATGGGACAGTGACTCTGAGTGTCCTAATTACCATC